TATGGGCTCAGGGCCCCCTTTTAACCTAGTTGACCGACTATCTATCAGCTCGGCATCTCCGTGCAGTCGTATCTGGCCATGAGTCTAATGTCTTTCTGATTACCGCTGGTGTTCCTCAAGGAAGTATATTGGGGCCTACCCTGTTCTTGTTATACGTGAATGACAGTGACACTACTCTTGGAGAGGGCGTAGATCTCGCTGTCTATGCGGACGACACCACGCTGTATCAGTGTCCCGCAGTGCGCGCAGACGTTAATGAACGAAGCCGTGTTTTGCAGCATGCAGTGGGTGACCTCTCCGCCTGGGGCAAAGCCTGGAAGATCTCATTTGAGCCCACCAAATCCCAGGCCCTCACCATCGATCACCATCGGCCACGTCGGCAGCTCCCGGCCATCTCCTTCGATGTAGTACCAGTTGTGGAGGAAGCAGAGCTCAAGCTCCAAGGAGTCCAGTTCGACACACAGTTGTCTTTCCACCAGCATTTGCGCTCTGTAGCCGTACGTGCACACCAGCGGTTACACTTCCTGAACAGAGCTGCCCCATCCTTGATGTTCGTGGAAGAGAGCGAGTCTACAAAGGTTTCGTCAGACCAGTAATGGTATACTGCCCGTTGGTCTGGATATGGGCTGCCACTACAACCCTTCGCCAGCTTGATGCAGTTCAGTTACGAGCTCTCAAGATCATCTCTCGTGAGTCATGGCTTCCAAGTCTGGCCCTCCGCCATGCTGTTGCTGCTCACACGTACTTATACAAGCTCTAGTGCCTCTCAACTAGCTCACCACTGCGAGCAATGATCTCTGCCGTTGCACCAGAGCTGCAAGGGCATCATGGCTTCCAAGTCTGGCCCTCCGCCATGCCGTTGCTGCTCACACGTACTTATACAAGCTCCAGTGCCTCTCAACTAGCTCACCACTGCGAGCAATGATCCTTGCCGTTGCACCAGAGCTGCAAGGGCATCATGGCTTCCAAGTCTGGCCCTCCGCCATGCCGTTGTTGCTCACACGTACTTATACAAGCTCCAGTGCCTCTCAACTAGCTCACCACTGCGAGCAATGATCCTTGCCGTTGCACCAGAGCTGCAAGGGCATCCTCGCACTAATCAGCAGACCCGGATTTGCCATGAATTGCAGTTTGCCATGCCCCGCAACCGTCACTCACGCAACAGCGTACAGCGATCATTTCCGTCCGCCATCGTTGAGGATTGGAATCGCCTTCCTCCAGAGCTCATCACAGCACCACTAACTCTACCTCGCCTCCAGCAGTTCAAAGAAGGCGTTCATAAGTATCTGTGATCTGCTGACTGGCATTGGGCCTCTATAGTGCGCGGTCCCATTTCGTAAAGGAGTCATAGTTTAGAAGTTTCGTGGCAAGTAGGAGCTCACCAACATTTTAGAGCTGTTTCCGACTAAGTTGCGGCTGCTGAAGACGATAAAAGTATCGGCAAGTCTGTACTGTTGTCCGTTTGGTAGATATGGCGATCTTCCGCTGCATACGGAAATTGTACATGTACTCGAACCCAGTCATTCTAGGATACTGTACATGTAGTGTGTTTCTGCATACAGAGTCCGTCAAGAAATTCGAAACCTTGGACGTTTGAAGAAAAGCTTGCTCCAGAGTGTTTTGGAGCCGAATCAGGCAGGCAGACCCAAAGGGGAACAGGCACGATCTGAGCAAGTGTGTGGTGTGCCAGGATTATAAACCTGACACGCAGAACAGACGCTTGGCAGAGAAATTTACTCAGTACGCCACATACGAGTCAGAGTTTAGTCTGCTCGATGCTGCTTGTACACGCAGCCACGCTAGAATATTGAACGAACTTGAAAATCAGGATGGTATAGCGAATGAGATCAAGTATCACCGTAGCTGTTTTTCACTGTACGTAAACTAAAAGTCTCTGAAACGTCTTGCTAATGATGCAGTGGATTCTGATCTGGCCCAGAATGGCGATGTGAAGGCGCAGGCATTCAAGAAATTGTGTGAGTGGATTGAAATTAATGTCCTGACTCAGAGTAACTCCGCAACAGATATGACTGAAGTATGTAAACGTTACAGTCGATTCCTGGACGAACTAGGATTGATTGGTCATGTTCAGAATTCCTTCGCGGTGAAACAACGCCTCATGGCACACTTCGGCGACCGGTTGCAGTTCCATCGGCCTGCATCCCGCAGAGAACCAGAACTGTGGAAGAAGGCCTTAGATGAGTCATGACCTCTCTGGTATGGCACTGACCCAACCGCACGCTGCCTTTGCTGTATTCACCAAAGGCTTGGCTGGGATCTGGGCTTATCACCTGCGCGGCTCACCGTGCGCGCCTGGACTGTTGACTGAGCTCGATAGGAAGCTGAACGAGTGCCTGTTGCCGCCGGTCCTGCTGAGGGATGGTGTTTAACCTGCGATTTGGTGTTCAGGCTATCCCGGTTCTCGAGAGCACCGCGCTCGGGTAGAACTGGCTGCATCTATCCAAGCGACCAAACCACTCGTGCAGCTCCTGCCTACGGGAACCTATGAGAGCCCTCCTCATCTGCATCGAGGGCTGGTGGATGGTGTGCATGCTGCGGGGGACCCAGTGGATGGCACGTGTGCCGCGTTATTGCCTGGTTCGGTGTCGGCTGTGGCGGGCGACCCAGCAGATGGCAATCGTGCAGCGTTGTCCCCTGGTCCAGTGATTTCCCTGATCACCACCTGGTCAAAACAATTAGACCAATGTTTTATTGCTTTTGTGTTTAATTGTTTATTTTGATATTATTTCCCCAATCACTTTAGTTTGATGATACACATGTTGACTTGCCCGTACAAGTGGCTTTTCCTATGGAGCTGGCAGTGATTGTTGCAATGATGATGACGACATCAACACTGAAATCCAGAGGTGTATTGACCTACTTCATCCTGCTGTCTTGTGGACTGCGAGCAAAACTCTGATGCATGTGTTTACTGCGTCATAAACCGATTTTTTTTTGCTATATGTAAATACTTCAAAGCTTGCAAACTGCTGAATATGTAAATAATTTCGTTGTGTCACCTGTATATCATTCTGGTCGCTCTTTGCTATTCTTTGCTGCTGCACCGCTTGAGACAGACATGTAAATAGTTTGGTTGTCTTTTCACTTGTATTTAATTATGTCGGCCCAGAGTCATTGCTACTGTATTCTACTTGCTGCTGCGCTTGAGTACATGACACAGCCAATGTACTTTTCATTTTTTGTAGCACAGACTCTAAATTTGTATCAGGGACTGAGCGCCACATTACACAACTAAAAGTTTGACAGCCATGCCACAGACTCGCATGAAAATCAATTTGATTGTGTTTGTACAGTTGCTCGCACTGACCTTGCAAGTCCACCTAAATTATACATAAACATTTTTGCTTTTTTCAATGTACTCAGCTGAATGATGTTTTATTGCCACCAGGGAGTCGTACCCTCCCTGACTGCCACCAACTGGAGTCTAAAACGGACTCTGTATGCAGAAACCCAATATACTCTAGAATGACTGGGTTCGAGTACATGTACAATTTCCGTATGCAGCGGAAGATCGCTATATCTAACAAACGGACAACTGTACAGACTTGCCGATACTTATATTGTCTTCAGAAGCCACAACTTAGTCAGAAACAGCTCTAAAAATAGTGAGAATGCATGCGAATGGATTCATGAATCGATTCAAGTGCATAATCGAACGCATGCACCCACTGTACTCTAGCATGACTGGGTTAGAGTACATGTACAAATTCCCTATGGAGCGGAAGATCGCCATATCTAACAAACGGACAACTGTACAGACTTGCCGATACTTTTATCGTCTTCAGCAGCCACAACTTAGTCCGAAACAGCTCTAAAAGATTTGTGAGCTCCTATACGCTACGAGTTTCTAGAAAATACCACCTTGGACCTTAGACTACTACGCACCTGTGATCTGTGTGTGTGTGTGTGTGCGTGTGGGTGTGTGTGTATGTGTATGTGTGTGTGTGTGTGTGTGTGTGTGTGTGTGTATGTGTGTGTGTGTGTGTGTGTGTGTGTGTGTGTGTGTGTGTGTGTGTGTGCGTGTGTGTGTGTGTGTGTGTGTGCGTGTGTGTGTGTGTGTGTGTGTGTGTGTGTGTGTGTGTGTGTGCGTGTGTGTGTGTGTGTGTGTGTGTGCGTGTGTGTGTGTGCTTGTGTGTATAGTGTGTGTGTGTGCGTGTGTGTGCGTGTGTGTGTGTGTGCGTGTGTGTATAGTGTGTGTGTGTGTGTGTGTGTATAGTGTGAGGGTGTGTGTGTATAGTACGTGTGTGTGTGTTTGGCTGTTCGTGTGTGCGTGTGTGTGTGTGTGTGTGTGGCTGTTCGTGTGTGCGTGTGTGTGTGTGTGCGCATGCGTGCTTGTGTGTACGATTTAGGATACCTGCTGGGCGTATGCAGTCAATGTACGGTGTACCTGAACTTTTTTCCTCCCATTGAGCAACACTCCGTGGCCGTGCTGCCACCCTTATTTCACATTTGCTCTGTAGTGCTCCTGCTCATTTTTTTCTATTTTCGTATTTTTCTGTTTGACGCGCATGAGCAGTGCTGAGGCCGAGACCCCTGGTCGGTTTAGCTGCTCTTGCCCCGCCTCCACTGCTTCGGCTGCCATCGCTATGCGCATCTGTGTGTGTTTGTGCCGGCGTTTGCACCATGATGGTTTGTGGTTATCTAGTAACAAAGTGTGTGTGTGTTTGTGTGTGTGTGTGTTTGTGTGTGTGTGTTATCCCATCACTAGTTGCTGTGTCTAACGTACCTGTTCTTTACCATTGCTTCTGCGATGAGCAGGTCTGAGATCTAGGATCTGAGGTGCCTGTGTGTTTGTGTGTTTTTGGATGTGTGTGTGTTTGTGTGCGTGTGTGTGTGTGTGTGTGTGTGTGTGTGTGTGTGTGTGCATGCATGCATGAGTGTGTGTGTGCGTGCAAGGGTGCGTGTGCATCAACATGTGTATGAATGTGGGTATGTGTGTACATGTCTTGTCTTTAATTTGCTGCTACTTCCAGCCTGGGGACACACCATTACATGTTGCAGCATATAATGGTCATGTTTCCACAGTGGAATATCTTCTCACTTCTGGACATTCGTTGGAACCAAGGAATAATGTAAGTCAGATTATCCCTGATGCATGATCGTTTTCATGAGCAGAAAGAAGAATTACGCAGTTGAATACTTTTTTGCGAGTTCAAATTTCTATCTTCCATTCTTGACTTCAGATGTTGTTGACTGCTAGCAGATGGGCTTGGGTGGTATCTTGTTGGGTGGTGGAGGTGATGTTGGCATGCAGTGTAGTGTCGTCTGCGAATAAGGCTCGGTCAGCACCGGCTGGTACGTGGTCCTTGCAGTCGTTCACGTATATGAGGAAGAGAGTCGGACCCAGAATACTGCCCTGGGGGACTCCAGTCTGAATTGAGAGCCTTGAGGATGTCTGGCCACAAATGACCACTTGAAGGTAGCGTTCAATGAGATAGCTGCTGAGCCACTGGTGCAGCTGCCCACGCAAGCCGTATACATTGTACTTGTGTAGCACACCGGGGTGTGATACGCGATCAAACGTGCCGGCTATGTCAATGGTGAGTATGCGTGCTGCGCCTTTCTTCCCGGCTGTATGCAGCCATTGGTTGTGGAGGCTGGAGAGGAGGTCGGCTGCACTATGGCCATGGCGAAATCCAAACTGTCTTGTGGAGAAGACGTCGTTCTACTCGAGGAAATTAGTTATTGTTCTGTTGATGATTGTCTCCATCACTTTGGACAGAATACACAAGAGCGAAACTGGATGGTAATTGGAGCGTAGAGACTTTGATTTCCGTTTGAATATAGGGACTATGTTGGCAATATTCCATGTCTTGGGCTGTATCACAGTTTGGAAGCATTGTGTGAACAGTGTAGAAAGAGGTTGTTCCAGTTCAGCAGAGCAGGTTATCTCTCAGGTATCTCCATGCACGTCATTTCCTCACTGTGGCAGCAGTGCACACAGGGATCCACCAAAGAGGGTCGAATGCACAGGTTTTCAGGGTATTAGAGGGGATGAATAACTTCATACCCTCCAGGATCCTCTTTGAGATGCCAGTGCATGACAGGTCTGGATCAATCCAAGCAACAGCTGCCCAATTGGTGGTTCTGACCAAGTGACGGAGCCTGGCCCAATCTGCATGCTGATACCTCTGTAGTATCCCTGTCTTATGCCGAGCTAGTCGTGGTTACTGACGCTGATTCCAGGTATGGCATTTTCTTTCCTGTCTTCCTTCAGTCTCCCTGTTCTCTTCAGTCTTCCTTTATGCGAGTGTGTGATATCCAGTTTAGTTTGGTAGGCGTCTGATCATAGTGAGCCACATTTTACCTATTTAACCTGGTGAGAGAAGTGTGTGAGAAACCCCTTTTACACTCCAGGTGTGTACCGGAGTAATTTCCCACGATGCAATGCATTTTTTTGAAATTTTGAATTTCCTGGCAGTTTGAGCCCGCGATGTTTAGAAATTTGGCTGTCTTTCACGTCCTGTTTGGAGGACCATTCTTTCCCTGACCCCGAGAGATCGTGTGAACCTGGTGTGCTTTTACTTCTATGTTATGATTTGTTATCAGTTCATTTCTTCTGTCTTTTTTTTTTTTTTTTTTTTTTTTTTACTACAAAGCACTGGCCAGCAACATAAAAGGGGAGGTAGACAAAAGTGGACAAGCGAACTTTGACAACACAGAGGAGCGTGGCATGCGTGCCGATGAGGTAGGTCAACCTCCCCCGACCTAGTGGTCTCGGGTTCAACAGTTGGTCTACGCATCAGGAAGGGGAAATGGACAGAGAAAGGGAGAATGAGCATGAGGAGCTTCCCAGGAGAGGAAGAGTGAGAGAGAGAGAGAGAGAGACAGAAAATGATAATAATAGAGACAACCGGTTATTCTCAGTGCTGGTGGACTTCAGTGGCCCATAGCCAATTGGTCTGGCGGAGGTGATGGTAGGCCTTGGTCTTGAATGTCGGCAATTTCTTGAGAGTTGGGCGTTCGGCGAGGATTGGGGCAGGCAGTGTGTTCCAGCTCTCCAGGACAAAGTATGGGAAGGAGCGGCGGATTAACTCTGGACTGGAGGCTGGCAGAGGAGTTGCGAGTTGGAAAGAGTGGCCACCGAGGGACTGGCGTTGCCGGCGCGTCCGGGGTGCAGCGTTAACTCTTGCTGGGGGAGGTACCATGTTGGTGAGCAGAGCTGGACCTGGTATGCATTGCAGCTTATACAGGTAGCACAGCCCGTAAACATGCCTTCGGATTGCCAGGCTGGGGAACAATGAGGGGCCAATAACCTTCATGGCTCGACGCTGGACCAGGTCCAGCTGATGGAGGTGACAATGTGCCGCACTTGCCCAGACGAGAGGGGCGTACTCCATTATAGGCCGTACAAATCCTTTGTACACAGTTAGGCGCCCTGCACTGTCCAGGATCCGAGATGCCTTTCGGAGCAGGCCGAGTCGCTGGTTGGCTCTAACGGCAAGGGAACGGATGTGGGCCCGGAAGGAGAGAGTACTGTCAAATAACACTCCTAGCAGCTTGAGCTGAGGGCTCTCAGGCACCTGCATGCCATCAAATGTGAGCTGTGGGACATCCAGGGATGGTCTGTGGCGGTCAAGGAGTATTGCCTGAGATTTTGATGGCTCGAACTTTATCTTCCATTGGGCACCCCAAGTCTGCAGGCGGTCAATAGATGCTTGGAGGCTATTGCAAGCAGCAGCGATGGTATCTGGGTTTCTGATTAGGGCATAGAGTGTTGTATCGTCCGCATAGACAGCTAGACTGGAGCCTGGGGCTAAACACTGTTCTGCATCGTTTACATATAACAGGAAAAGAGTGGGACCTAGGAGGCTACCCTGGGGCACTCCAGCCTTGATCGGGAACAATGGGGAGGACTGACCGCCAACAACTACAGTCAGTTTTCGGTCATGGAGATACGACCTTAGCCAAGCCAGGAGTTGGCCGTGGATGCCACATTGCTGTGCCTTTGCAAGGACACCTGGGTGGGAAACCTTGTCGAATGCCCCGGCAATATCAACTGCCAGGGCATGCACAAGACCGCCGCCAGCCAGGGTGGTGGCCCAGGAATGCTGGAGAGCCGTCAGTAGGTCACTTGTGCCCAGTCCACGTCGGAAGCCAAACTGGGACGAGGAGAAGAGTTGATGGGTTTCCAGGTGGTTCACAAGCTGCCGATTGATGATACCTTCCATGATCTTAGAGATGATCGTCAGGAGAGATATAGGCCGGTAGTTCTTCATCATGGATTTGGGTCCTTTCTTGTGCACTGGAACGACACGGGCAATTTTCCATGATTGGGGCTGGACTCCATTTGCAAAACACAGGCGAAACAATCTAGCCAGCGGATGTGCTAGTTCAGCTGCACACTCCTTGAGTACTCGTCCTGGGATCTCATCTGGACCAGTGGATTTGGATGTGTTGAGACGCTTCAGGCACTGTTGGACTTCAGAGACGCGGAAGCGGATGCGCTGCAGGCCCGGAGTGGTAGTGCGGGGTGTTGCTGGTAACTCAGCATTGTCGATGTCATTATCCCCAAGGCTACATTTTTCAGCAAAGAATCTAGCAAGGCACTCGCTCTTGGCTTTCGATGTACTGTGCTCGTGCCCGTCAGCATCAGTGAGTGTTGGCACGTCTGTAGTCCTACCCAGACCGGCGGCGCGCTTGACATTCCTCCACCAGTCCTTGTCTCTCATGGAACCACGTGTGAGACGCTCGCGGACTGTCTGCTCTTCAGCTTGTTGTGCACGATGTTGGGTTGTAATAGATTGAGTGACAGTTGTCATGAACGACTGCTCCAGGCATTCGCTGGGCCCCTGGTGACGCCAGGCCTTCCATGCTTTCTCTTTGGCACGTTGAGCCTCAGTGCATTCTGGTGTCCACCAGCTCGGATCGGACGGCCTTGTTTCCAGCATCTTGTGGGGAATAAACTGCAGCATCCCAGACACGATGTGCCTAGTAACAAGGCTGCATGCTTCCTCTGGGTCCTCCGGAAACTCAGCTGCCCAGGCAATGCGACGGTAGTGGGCACGCAGTCTGTTCCAGTCGGCTTGGCCATATCGCCACACACGCCTCCGTGTGCTGGGCTCATTTCCTAGCGGGGCTTGAGCGAGCACAGCGTGGACAACACAATGGTCTGACCTTCCTATCGGCGGCGAGATACCGGTGGTCACAGTACCAGTGAAGTCAGAGAGCACTAAGTCCAGGGTGTTGAGACCTCGGGTTGGTTCTTGGACATGCTGCATGAGGCTGTGGGCAGCGCTTAGTTCCTCCATGTACTCCCCTGCACGGGTGGTCTTAGAGCTGCCGAGCCAAGCCGTGTTGTGGACATTGAAGTCTCCGACCAGCATGGTGTGGGTGCCGTGTTTTCTGACGCTATCCAGGATGCCATCGAGGTGCTCAAGTGTTGAGATATCAGTGTCTGAGGCGGATCCTGGCCTGTATACAGCACCCAGCACTATCTTACCATGATGGGCAGACTGCACTGTGAGCCAAGTTACTTCGTGAACAGATGAGTCGTACTGATCTAGATGATGGTACGCCAATGGGCTGCGTATCCAGATTGCTATGCCACCACCATGTTCAGTCCTGTCACGCCGGAGTGGGCCGGAGTACCCTGGGATGGCTGACTCGTGAAGGGAGAATTTCTCTGCGGTGATCTTGGTTTCAGTAACAACAGCGATATCAGCTTTGGAGGATACAAGCGCGTGTTGAAACTCTCCAAATTTGGACATGATTCCACCAGCATTTGTAAGGAGGATTTTCATTGTTGCTTGCTTGCAGTATCTGCGCTGCTGCTTTTGTTGTTGCTTGCAGTATCTGCGCTGCTGCTTTTGTTGCTACCTACGCTTTGCAGTGGATTGGGCAGGGATGGGGATGTCTCTGGCGTGTCAGTTGGTGGGCAGCCAGGCTGAGCTGACCCTGGTACTGTCTTGTGAGTGTCAGATGTGTGGAAGGTCCACCTCCTGCAATAAAGTGGCCTTGGCCAGAAGTTGGCAGCCAGCAGGATATGCAGGGAGCTGGCATCCACAAACGCTCTTGCAGACATGCAGCCGCTAGCATTGACATGCATGCTACAGGTGTGGAGCACTACTGG